GAATTACAGTTTGGTATTCTTCTGCCCTTCTAAATTAGCAGGATCACTGTTCATACTTTTTTTTTTAATCCTGGAAAGGTGAGGGATTATAGATGCTTATCTATGTATGAAAATCAAGGGGTTTAAAGGTATAATCCCATTTGAGCCCACGTGCAGTTCTGTCAACCTTGTCTAATTCTGTTCAACTAAGATCTGCTGACTGCCCTGAACGTTTACAGAGGCACAAAGCCAGTCGTCCTCGTCTCTGCTGGCCTGTGACTTAACTCAAAAACGGTTAGATTTGTTCATTTACCCTTCTCCTTCTTGTCATCCGGAGAGATTCATTGGATTGACAGACCTGGGTAACTAAACTCTATCTTTTCTACAGGGAAAACTTTTCCTATTTCTAGTCTTATCGCTCTCCACCTTCCCAGATATGTTTTCATTTGCTCATCCTGTGGTGTGAAATTGCAATATAACAATCTTCTAAGCATGATAACACTGCGGTCTTTTTGTCTGCTTGGAGATTACGTAGACACACCCTGCAACAGCTGCAGAGTGAGAAAAATCCTTTCTTTCTTCTCGGACCCTCCCCCACTCTTGTATGCGTGACACATTGCTGCGTTGTTAAATATCAAGACCATTCCTCATCCTAATGACCCCATGTGAACAGCATCAACAATTGCTTCCTTCTCTCTCTTCGGACTTTAATCTCAGCAAACTCCACCCCTCACACTGATAGGTAATGGAGAATAGGGGCATTGTGAATCACCATCTGACACCAACATCAGCCTCTAGATGAGAAATTATAGAGGCCACACATTGGGCTGGAATATGAGTAATAATATATGACATGAACAATGATCTTTAAATCTTGTTTTTCAGAGGACTAAATATCTTAAATGTGGCCTCTCTTGAATAGAGATAAACTAGATATTCTCATCAGTATTCTTCAGAACAGCTGTATTAAAAACATTGGAGAAATAATTGTAGCGATGCTGATATGTGCTGCTTGATCTCTTTCCATTCAATTGATCAAACACGAGATCTGTCAACACAGCTGTAACTAACTCTGTTCTCATGTTAGCGAAGAGCTAAACAATTCTTGGCTTTCCATTTCTTTTTTGATAGAAGAACCCATCAGCTTCAAGGCTGGATTTCATTTCTGCCTCTTCTTGTTTGTTGTCTTGAGGTTTTGCTTGATACAGTGGGTTTCTGTTGAAAAGCAGGAACAGCAAAGGTCGTACTGGCCTCCCTGACCTGATGCTAATCAGGCAGTAAAAGGTCCACAGAGGTTTTCAGGTAGCAGCAGTGCACATCATGGATTGACATTGGATTGGTCAGGACCATATGGCAAAGTGTTTGTCTAGTGCCAAGGGAAACCTGTAAGTGACAGTGTGAATTATAGCCGAATGGTGGATGGTGTAAAGTATCATAGCTATTTACCCTGTGGTTAGTGCAGTCACTTCTCACATTCATTGCTGAGCTGCTGGAAGCCGTAATGCCTTTATTATATCACATGAATCATTCATTCAAGCACAGAAGCCATGGAGAGTAACAAGCTGTCGTCATTCTTTTCTGAATAAGACCACCCATAAAATATCTGTGCTTCATACATTGAATTCAGATATCTTTATTACTTCTGCCATTCACTATCGACTCTCTCAAAGGTCATTTCATTAAACCATAAACAATTAGGAAACAGAATTGCAACCAATGACAGGTTTTTTTGTTTCAGCTTAAAGGTTAATAAAGCAATCGGTCGTTAAGCTGTGTTGGGCCCTGCTTGGTGTAGAAAGGTCTTTCAGACTTAAACCAAAGTTACAGTTTAACCCATCATATACAGTGATTATCTTGGAAATATAAACATTCTTCTTTTTCATTAAAAAGAAGAAGGACACTAATTGGTGTTTGGCTGTTATTTCACTCGTTAATGAATGCAACTTTGTAGTTTATAGAAAAAACACGATTACATCCTTTGTTGTTTGACGTGTTTAGAGTTGAGTTGCAACAGTTGTGAAAATGTAGGGCCGATGAAACTATAATTTCATATCGTAAAAGAACAATTTAGCTGATGTTTTGCAATTCGTCATTTCGGTTTTCCAAATGAACTTTGTGATTTGATGTTAATTGTTGTCTGTCCTCCTGAAATGTCTTTCTAACATGTCTCACAAACTGGATGTTGCTGATCCAGACTCCCACACTGCCAACGTTTTGTTTCATGTTTGACCATGAAAACAAATCAGACTTCTTCTACCCGATAAAACAATCCCTTCTATTAATCAGCAGTTAGGTATACTAGCATGCCAGCATTATATTTAATGCTACACAACAAATACAAATCGGCTACTGATGTTGCTGCGTGCCACATTGTACGCGGCTGGCCGATATTTGGCCGATACAATGATGCATCCCAAAATAAAGACAATGCATCACTTGCATAAAATGAATATGAATTATAAAAGTTGAAGGTGTGACACATTAACTGAATTTGCCAGTGACATTCATTGTATCTGTGCAGCATTGATACCATAATATACTGTAGATTCATACATCTTGAAGCAAAAAGTAAAAGACTAAACAAAAACATGAGACACTGGTGCTGAGTCGGAATTGGTACTGTTAAACATGCTGTGTTGTAATTTCAGTATTCATATCTTCCAGTACTACCCTCCTAGGAGACAAATATGAAACACATTAACATGACCAACTGAAAAAAAGCGTGTCAGTTCCTCACAGCTGTCAGACTGTAGACCTTGTACTGAGCAGATAGCACAGCGACGAGGACCACAGCAGCACATTTCACTTAGTTTCATCATCAAAGGGTTTTCCCTACCGAGAAACCCTCCGCAAATGAGCGCTGAGCCAATGAGGCCTCTTGATGCCGGACACTTCATATCACCAGCTCTCACATTTCAGTACTGAAGCTGCAGAACAACTGTCAGTCTGTAATGAAAAGGAACCCACAGATGAATCACAGGAACTGTATTTATCCATTCAGTGCATGCTTGCTCTTCAAGTTAACTAGTCATTGTCAGAGAAAATGCCACACTCAATAATGCATGCCTGATTTCAAAGTCCATTGCCCTTTTGGTACGCGCTCTTGTCTCAGCGGCAGTGATTAGAGCAGGGCGATGAATCTTAACGTGTCTGGAGATGATATTTTGACAATCACTGGCTCTCATTTTCCACTATGGAAGGAATATTGGTCTTTTTTTGACCTTAGGGAGAAAATGTGACCTGTGGAGTGTGCAATGCTTTACAAGCCTCATTGGTTAGCGGTTTACTGGTTGTTTGAGGTGCCATCAAAATGCACGGTGACAACCTGGAGTGAAACATCAATAATTCAAGGACAGTTAATTCACCTTGGAGATTGGTCTCCATGGAGCTAAGAGACAGAGAATGAAGCATGCTGCCCTCTCGCAGTGGGATAACGTCATTTTAGAATTTGTCTCGTTAAAGGCTCAGACATTGGTAGTTCTGTTACACACACTGTTGGATGTGAAGCATTTTTAGTTGGATGCATTTGTTGGGTGGATTTATTAAGCTATTAATCAAAGTTTCTACATTAGCGACTACAATTGCTTTCATAGGACATTACACAGTGTGTATTATAGACCCGGACAACCTGAGAGAGGCCAGTAAAGGTTAATAGAAACACCCAGAACCATATCTCTTAAAACATTTCAAACACTGCACGCACTGATAAGAAAGAGGAAGCCCTCTATCTCTGAATAGGTCCCCCGGCTTTCCCGTTAGTGTTGCAGGTTAATGCTTCATATTATCTTTGAAAATAATGAAACACTCTGCTCCTGGAGTCAAAGGCTCCCTCAATTTAAATTTATAGAACCCTGATCACTGCCTGATAGCTCAGCTTTCACAGCTTGATGAGGATCTGCGGCAGATCTGACCTTCTAATGATTGGCCACTGGCTAAGGCCTCAGCATGACTCCGCTGTAATCTGTCCTTCTTTATCCGGAAAATGACAGGAGTGTCCTCAGCTGGAGTGCTACTGTATGATTGCAAAGTAGATACACTGTCTTGTCCTGAGTCTGATCTAAAAGGCTGTATCCTTCTTCTAAAGCTTCAGTTGATGCTTTAGATTAGCTATAAGAAAAACACATTTTGTTCTACTAAAATAACCAAGTAACAGTTAGGGCAAACTATGTCGAGAGGTAGTCTATTTCTGTAAGTACCGATGTATTGGCATGCTACTAAGGAGGTGAGGCATAGAAACACAGTCACACAGGGAACCCGTTGTGTGCTACAATGTGTCTTGATCATCTGCTGGGGATATGTAGTAAACAACTACAGACCCGCAGAGCTTTAAAGTCCCAGTGCAGTGTTCTCAAACGTGGATCAGAAGAGTTTTGTGTCTCAGCAGTTTCCTTCCACATTGCATGAAAAAAACCTCAAGAGTCTGAATTTATAACTTGTTTTTGATTTAGTTACAGTGGTGAGCAATAAATGTGCTCATTAACGCTGCCAAACTGTCCCTCTAATGTCACTTTGCTATTTCTAATGCTTTCTAAAAGAAAAAAAGCTGTGTTTGAAGATACAAATGTCTGCATTGTCAGCCTGAAATGGAAAATGTGACTGCAGAAAACAACCCTGTGAACACTAATCTTTCTGATAACTATTATTTAGGTGTCAGTATAATTGCTTTTTAAAAAAGGGATATAGGAAACAAGAAATCAAATCAGAGGAGTAAAAGTGAAGACCTGATCCTCAAGTGCATTTTGGCCCTTTTTGAAATCATAATAAGACTTAATATGTACTGAACTGATGCCAAATAACTCTACTTTTTCCACTCCATCATTATTGAGAACTTTAGACCGTAGTTTTGTGCTGTTAATTGACCACATTGCATTATTTGTGGATCTTGCAAATTCAAGCAAACTGACTATCTTAAAGTCATTTAAGTGACAATTCTACAAAGTAAATACAAATATCTGTGACGTTTTTGTTGCAAATGTTACTTTTTTTCAAAAAGAGTGAACAATACCTTTTTGTCTTCACAGTGGCATACCAGGGAAAAAATGCGGGACTATTATCTTGTCTGCTGAGGAGCTGGGAAACTGCAGAGTAAGTCCAAAAAGTTGTAATTGTTACATATGAGTCTTATTTCTGTGAATGTATATAATGATAAATATTTAGTGTGTGTTCTGGGATCTACTTTGAAATGGGTGCTTTAACAAGCGCATTCGAGTCTAATTGAACAGATCCACTGTCGCTGATTGATTTCTGCATGTCACTGTGAATTTGTGTGCGACACATTAAGGGGAAATGGTGCATGTTGTTTCCGCAGCCTAATGCATTTTTAGTCATGTTCTTAAGCCTGCTGAAGAGAGGCGGGTTGTTTAGTAGGATTCACTTCCATTAAATATATTGCAAGTAATTGTCCACATTAAAGCAGCAGTATAAGCCATGTCACTAAGCAATTGTGTTTGTCATTTGGACAAAATGTACATAGTTCGAATGTTCATTTAATACCCCCCCCCCCCCCCCCCCCCCCCTTCATTCCTATCACTGAACCAGGCGTTTCCCTCTGTGTGTGGTGTGTTAATCCATGAGTATGCATTAATAACCTGCGTCCACTAATGCCCATTGGCTTTCTCTCCTCACTGCTAAATGATGATAATGAATAATCACATTACACTGCTTCCACTGGAGCAGGAGCAAGACTTATTGGCCTGAGCAACCCGCCTCCCTCAGAGGCCATAAAGCAAGCCATTGAACTGCAACTATTGTGCAAATGTTTCACGATATCTTAATGCATGTTAGCATCTAATGATTAGGCTCTGCAATTTAAGTAAAAGCTCATGGATTAACAGTATCTGTACTTCTTCAGAGCATCAATCTGTTCCCGAGTGATAAGCAGTCTGATTATAAAGACACAGAAAAGCCATGCTGATAATATAACTGACATGCTAACCATTACTGATTTGGTCCTTGCCAGATTGAAGTGTCAGCGCTCACAGTTATTGAAGGGTTGCTGTGAGTCATCAGGTGCTTTGAATCTGCAGTGATAGGAGTAAGCATTATCACTGCAGAAGCACCACCTCAACAAGCACTTTGCAATATAAATGCAAATGATCAATACAGGTACAAATGATCGTTTACACTCTCCTAGACTCGATTAGTGAAACACAGACTTGGAAGGCCACTCCAGGCATGCCCTGTTTACACATCATTTGACCCTGAATAAAAATGCTTCTGGTGTGAAGAAAGAATGAGAAACTAAGAGAAAAAAAGGCAAATTATGGCTGACTAACAGTCGGAAGACACGCTGTCAGAGCAAGTCCCACACTTGTGTATTATGGCAGTTTGGAATTTCTAGAATCCATCTGGACAGTGTTTATTCTCTAATCCACCTGTGACCAACAAATGGAGGCAGCAGAGTTACTGCTACGCCTGAGGTAAACACTGCAACTGTTGTTTGGGGAAACTGAAACCAGGAGAGAGGGAATCGACAGGGGAAGTTCTGCAGGGACTGTTAGCTGAGAGGCAGGTTGGCTCCCACCTTGTCAGAGGATTTGCCAGGTATCATTAGACAGAGCAACCGCCTCTGCATGGATCAAAGGCTTCCTCCTGGCTGACGTTATCTCTGGCATATATGACATGCTGCGCAACGGCTGGCTCTCTCTCTCAGATCCTCCTCACAGTCCAGCAGCAACTCCGTCTGATTTGAATCTAAGTCAACCATGTAGCACTTTAAATATGACAGCAGTCAACCAGAGAGTTTTTGTATTTGCTCAGATCAGAGACATCTATTCCTAAACTCAAAAATCAGACCAATCACCATTGATTCAGTGTTTGGTTTGATGCAAGTATTCTTTGTTTATCTCTGTTATCGGAGAATGTAACTAAGATATGTCTCTTTTTTCTTCTTTTGTGGATTTTGAAAATGTTCCTCTCATTAAAAAAAATAAAATCCTTCACCTGAGGCTAACCATATCAATGGAGTGATATGTCAGGCACACAAATGAATTGGGCTTCACATTATCCTCTGGCTCAGGATCCATTTGGTACTGCACAACAGTGTGCCATCCCGAGGATGTCACAGGCTTATGTAACCAATGCTCGAGTATTGTCTGCATTGCCTCGTGTTCTTTTGAAAGACCTACAGTGCCACTTCTTAAACGTGACAGCAAGAATTCCTCTGCCACTTACCCCATGCAGAGATATCTTGCTTGGGCAAAGAAAAGGAAAGGATGCACTGCACTCACTCTACCCCTGCTGCTCTTAAACCTTGTGGCCGGAATGAATGTTCTGCTTTTTTTCCCCACTTAATGAGAGAACACTTGGAGGCACCAAAGTGGGTATATGTTATCTGTACCTAATGAAGGCTTAAGCCACCGTGTTACCTTTATAGTGTTATTATAGAGGCCGTGTCAGGGCTTAGCAGGACAGTTATTAGATGCTGCTGTATTTTAGGGCTTGGATAACTTACCTAAGCAAACTCCTGTAACATATTATTAGGTGTTTTTATTTTATTTTATCCACAAAATGAGCCTCAGTGGGTAGCTGGAAAATCAGACGTTCTTGTAAATAAAGCAGTCAGGGGACAGCTTGAAACACTTCAGGAACAAACCGAACAGTAGCTGGCTAAATAACTCGGCTGATATACTCTCAGTACGCAAATTTGAGAAACTACAGAGCTTAGTGACTTTAAACCATATTGTAGAATTAGCAGTAACAGGAATAAAACAGAAAGTGTCCATAGGGAATGATAAAAAAGTATCTTCACAACAATTCTGCTTCAATTAGCCACCACTGACTGTTTTAATCAGTTTTTATTACTTCTTCTCTACCAATGTCTCAAAATGTTGATTAGAGATAACAGTGGTAATCAAACAAGCTCAAATTTCAAGGGAATCGTCAAAGAATTCTTTCACTATTTGAGAAAAAGGCATCCGTCTTCGTCTCAGCAGTAGAGGCAGCTCTGTGTCTTGTTTGTGTAGAAGGCATAAAGTGATGTGATGGGTTAGTGAGAAGCTGGTCAAAGGCAGAGCGCACCACACTGATTTGGGTCAAAGCAATCGATAGAGGCCCTGGCCAGCACCACACTGATTCCGATCTAATAGCCCTTCTAAACCTTAAAGCCTCGGTGAAGACTAACAGAGTAAAAACAGCTCATCTTTTTGCGAGCTGAAGGCTTTAAACATTTATATCCCAACTCACTCTTTAAAATGTACTGATAAAGTCTTGCATTTTATTAGCAGTATGTGTCAAGGCGAAAGGGTTTTTGAAAATGTTTTAGAGTGTTCATACAGTACTGAGATAAAGGCTGTCAGTAATGGAGAAGACTTTGCACAGTTTCTTCTGATGCAGACATTTACCTGTCCAGTCTGTGCCCTCTATTCAGCCTCATTATATAACACAGCACAGACTAATACCTTGACCACAGGGAGAACTATCTGGAACCAAGAGCATTATGGGGCATGTTCATTGTTCTGGTAATGGTAGCACACGGTGAAATGCTGCCTAAATGAGTATAATTATGGTAATATCAGCCTTTCTAATGTATCATTAGCTGCACTCACACCCTCTGAAACCTTTTTCTACACAGCCCCTCCCTCCCCGCTGTATGCAGGGTTTTAGAATCCATTTCTGTGCCTCAGCGTGGTCCTTCATACTGTCACTATGATTACATTCTGCACAACAAGGCATTTTTAATTGTAATATCCTTTATCCCATCTAGTGTTGTAATGCAGGAGTAGTATAATAAAGAAATAGTAATGAATGTAGTTCAGTTTTTTGGGAGCTAGTGGCTTGTTTCGCCCTGCTCTTATTAGGATTCACTCAGTACTTTGCTCTTATTTGGTGCTTCAGTGCTTTTATATCTTGGCACACAGCATGTATGAACAAACAACAGAAGGCATACAGAGGCAGGAGCATGGATTCACAATGTCCTTTGTTTTTTTTTTGTCTTTTCATTTCTGCCTTTTGTTTTTTTTGCTCCACTGTCTGAAGGATTATGCCACCATGCAATTCTGTGCCAACAAACTGGATAAAAAGGACTTCTTTGGAAAGTCAGACCCCTTCATGGTCTTCTACAGAAGCAATGAGGATGGCACGTAAGTCTGTATTTCCTGCTCTTTCAGTGTAGCTTGTCAAAGGCAGGCGGGTAGGCATGGACATCAAAGATGAAAGCATCCAAGGTCGAGAGTATTAGATTGAGATCCACTGAACTCAGCAGCATCAAGATAAATAATGCAGACCAGGTTCTCAGAGCAAAGCATAGAGAAGAGATCTACCATTTACCTTTTTTTAAGTGTGAGAAGAAATGTCTTTAAGGATGTTATATCCCTGCCAACCTGCGTTCCCAGGTTCACCATCTGCCACAAGACCGAAGTGATGAAGAACACGCTGAACCCTGTGTGGCAGCCCTTCTCCATCCCTGTCAGAGCACTCTGCAACGGAGACTATGACAGGTAGGATGATAGATTATGTACGATCAAGTGTTCTACACACCCACACTGGAAATCAAAGCTATGCAGAGTTTCAATATGTGGTGTCCTTTTTCAGACGGGGTTTGGTGCATCAAATTTAAACAATTGTATTTTATCTGCTGCCTAAATGGAGAATTATGAAAAGCCCATTTATGTTTTCATGCTACCTCGCCTAAATGTGTTGATTGGCCCACAACTAGGAATAACATTTTCAGTTGATGTTTCTAGAAGCTTCTCCGATCTTATTCAAGCAAAGAACTTTGCAGGAAACCCGTGGAGTAAGAATAGTTAAAAAATAAGTAAAAGAAAATAAATAAGAAAAATAGGAGAGTAAAGAATGTGGAGGGGTAGGAATAGTGGCTCTAACTGCTGCTGTAGATGCTAAAGGGGCTTGCTATATATGTGTGTGTAGGTGTGCGTCTGGACCCTGATAGCAATGGGAGGGAATTAAATTTGTCAAAGAACATGTCAAAGCTTGCCCACTCCACCACGCTGAGTGTCAGCTGAGATTCTGCACTTCGATCCCGTCTCCTCTCACCTGAATAGAGGCGCTAATTGGGTCAGACAGATGGGGTGGAAGCATGAAAGACTCCCTTTCAGAAGTTTGACGGCAAGAGGAATTTACGCCAATTTAAGGTCTCCCCGATGTTGGTGTGAGACATCTAAAGTTTGCTTTGCTGTTTGACGTGCTGCTCTTGCAGAGCCATCAGCTGTTTAATGTTTAATTTATAACCACTTTTTTTTATCATTTCACTTGGCCTGGATTTGACCTGCAGTTTGGCAGTGATTCAGAGGCTTTGAATTTCTTTGACTCAGGCATCTGATAAATGCACAGCCCTTTCTTGTAATGTGGGTTTGATTGAGCCACCGGGCTTTGCTTGTGTTCTATTAAAGTTTTTAGGTCAAGTTAATTAAATTCATATATGCTGTTAAATTTCCCCAAAGGGCTTTAAATCTCGACAGTATACACAACCCTCTATGCTTTGACCCTTTCAGTGTAGGGAAAATGAAAGAAACCTCAGGAAGAACAACATAGAACCGAAATATATTTCTGATTATCGAACCACAACATGGACAAAGAGAAAACTTACATTTGATAGATAGTTGAGGACATCTGTAAAGTATGTGGATTCAGGAAGACTTGACCACAAAGCCCTCGAAATGCTACACCTCATAAACACTCAGAACTTAGAGAAACCATTCGCACAAAGGTAGAAGAGACAAGAGGTGTGGCATTGTCTATCGGAGGAGAAGGATAAAGATGTCTGAAAAGAAAATAAGAGAAAAAGCCCCAACTCAGATAAGGCTAATCCATTAATCTTTACAGTAACTCTTTGTTACTTAACTTTTGTCTTCTGAATCTGTTTAATCTTTTCACTATCATTTGGCTTAATAGCGATAGGAAAGTGAAATCTCTCCTATTTTTAACTGAAAACGCAGTGTGTATCGCTGTATCTTCATCAGTGGATGTTGATGTGTGTCAGTGCTGCTCATGACTATCAACACAATTTGTGATAAAGTGACATTGGAGAAAATTTATGTTGACTGATACATCACCAGGGGATCATGTGCAGCATTGGCCCTGAGAGCCAAAACACATTTGTTTTTATTTCTTTTGGTATTTAAGAGTACGATTAACATCTGAATGTCTTCTCACTTCAACACCGAACATCTGAATGTCTGACTGGGTCGTTTATTTTTTCACTAGTAAGAATAAAACAGCTGGTTTTAAGGCAGATTCACACTGCAATTCTTTCTTAATCTATTTCTTTAGTACATGGATTGTTTGTAAGGAGGGGAACGACATCCTGTGCAGACAGATTGAGATCAGGTCAGGATAGTAAAGGATCCCTCCATCAACTTGCCTCCTCCTGGACCCACTGACACATGATTGACGGTTGCTGACGGGACGGGAAGCCACTGATCTTTCAATCAGAGCAAGAAGAAAAGACAAAGCACTTTGCTCTCTTACAGTGAATTCTCTCAGGCGTGTTATTTGGTTTCTCGCTCTACAACTTATTTTTGGAGCTCACAAAGATTCTCCCTCTCGAGTGGTTGGTTTTCTATCTTTGGCATGTGTTGGAAAATGTTTTTTCCCGCCCAAAACTTTTGGCAAATCTTGAAACCTGCTCACTCTTCTGAATGAAACATAAACTCACAAGTGAACAGTTCATTCAATCATTGACTAAGAAGCTTTTTTTTATTGATATTGGTCAAAAGGCTCGGTTAATTGATTTTTCTTTTAATGAAATAAATAAACTGACTATTAACACTTTGCAGCACAGTCTAGCTTCAAAGAGATAACTTATTTTGATGAGTTATTTGACCCTCAGGGTGTTTTATTTATAGTTGCATGCAAAGCAATTATCAGGCTTTAAATGATTCAATTTACCCTTCACTAACATTTAATGAGCTTGAACAGCTTGTTTTAATGGCCACATTTCAGAAACGCTTCCTCCTCAGTTGTATGTAGTGGCCTCCATAAATGTGCTCACACAAACCCTTTATCCTTTTATTTGTTGTACAGGACAATCAAAGTGGAGGTGTATGACTGGGACAGAGATGGAAGGTAATGAATCCTCAGTATTGGTACACTCATCATTTTTTTCATATTTTTCTCCTCTTAATAACTCCATGACCAATGTACATCCTCATTCTTTTTCACCTTAATGCTTTGTTTTTTTTTTCATTTTCAATAAGACCTCCTATATGCCCCAGTGCCTGTGATTAAATCCTCCAGCTGCTTTAATCTCCTACCTCTCAGGGTTGCACCTACCGTAGCTAAAATAAATGATGTAATTTTCTTTTCTCTATTCTTCAGCCATGATTTTATCGGTGAATTCACCACCAGCTACAAGGATCTGTGTCGAGGTCAGACCCAGTTAAACATCTATGAGGTGAGTGGTGATAAAAAAAACGTTTTTTTTTTTATCTGACTCTGGAGCAGTAACATTTAAATTTGTCTGATAGTTGAACTCTGTTTGCAACTGTTTTTCAAGTTCAGGAGTGAGATAGAGCACTCATGTAGACGAGCAAGAGGATGGGGCTGACTGGGCATCAGTTAAAAAAAGGAAATATGATGTCATCAGCTGAAGCTAATGTTAGATATCAGTAACCATCAGATTAGTTGGTGCCAATTTAGTGTTACAGAAACCCAAGCTTTTTATTTATTTTGTATTCTGGATACAAGAAAATATATGCAACAGACACAAAAACTGTGAGATATAAATCATCCACACGCTCAATTTTTTGTTTCTTGCCCCTCATATTGTTATCAAATAATAGCATTTTTTCCCACATTGCATATTTTTCTCATATGGTGCAGGACTATTACACCTGTCAAAGAAATGTTGTTAAATGCATCTTAGGTAGCCTTCAAATGTGGAGTGATTGGATCTATAAGTTTCCCGCTTGTGATCAGATGCATTTAATAACCAGTGTAATAAATAATAATAAACAGGGTAATTGAGTGGCTGTTGAGTGCAGTAAGGGACCCGTGATGCATCCGAGGGCACAAAAACAAACCTAAGCTCCATTTTTAGGTATAAATATAAGAAGCCTTCAATTTAAGAGCGGTGAATGGACTGCTAGGTGTAAGAGCTAATCAGCATGCCTTTTGGCTCCACAAGGTATTTTTAGTCAATGTGTAATGTCTAGATGAGGCTGCTGCTGTTAGAGCCAAAGTTGTGGCTACTTCTGATTAACAACGAGACTCCTCTGGCTCTCTAAACCTTACGCAGAGAGGTTAAGCTTTGCAGTGCACCAGATGAGGAGGTTGTGTCTGCGGTGAGAATACAAATGGCAACCCTACAGAAGTATGCTGCTGATTAGGTTTTTTTCTTTTTTGGGGGGGGGGATGGTCCTTTGGGGGTCAGATCGTGTATTGTAAGGATACGAGAGACTCCTGTCGACCTCTGCTCATTAAAACACTTGCTATGTTACATTAGCTTCTGAATTAGTCATAGAGGTGGCTCAAGGAAAGAACAGGGCCAATGAGAGAAGTGAGAGGGAGAGGATGGTGGCTAGATGGGGAAAAATGAGGAGACAGAGTGACATGCAGAGTTGCCCTTTTACACTGCTGACATGGCAGAAGAAGGTGCATTCATTATCCTTCACCAAACCTTTCAAGATTTTAATCAGAAATAAAACACAGCAGTTTCTTCGGGTCAATGCCCTTGAACCAGTTTGCTGCAGTCACTGAAGCTGCCATTGCAATTGATGAATATCAATCTTTATCTGTATAGCACAAATCCATAACACATGTTATCTTAAGACACTTTACACAAAGAGAAGGTCTAGGCTGTACTCTTTATTATAAATCAAATAATTTGAACCAATCAGTAGCACACTGCAGATTCCTGTGAACATAACCTAACATGTACATGGCTTGAAGAAGGGCCACTATGAGTAAGCCAGCAGAAGTGCAGTGAAACCCACAGGTCAGGTTATGTAGATGCAGCACATCAAGCAAAAGAGCTTGCCACATTAAGAAAAGCTCCTCTCTACAATATTTGCCCGCTCAAGACAGCAGAGGTGCGGATAGGATTGAATGTACTTGAAATGCAGTGGTGGAAGTTTTTATTAAATTAAATTCAGTTAGACACAGTGTTAATTTCCTCTTTATTACTTTACTACTAATTGCAGCTACATAATTTATTGCTGACTCTCAAAATGCAGGCTGTTGCTAGTATCATAATAACTGGCATATATAATACTGTATATTATACAACACAGTTTCCCCAGGCTTGTGCTTATTGTTTGTGTGCAGCCTTGTGGGATAAGCATTAGAGATAGCTGACCTTGATTGTTGCAGCCATGTTTTTGGCTGTTGGCTCTAAATGTAACATTGATGGGAGAAAGCAGGGAGGATTGTAATAATTCATAACCTGCACCTTTATTTGCACTTTATTTTTTTCCCTCACAATGTAGTCAGTGTGAATGCGGTTATTTTTTTGTCATAATGAGTAAATAGTTGGGACAGAGATAAATGTGCCACTATCCCCAAGCTTGATAATGTGAATGTGACATTTACAGCAAAGTGTAGGTGCTTCTAAATATCCCCCTGAATAATCTGTATCTTGCTGCAGGGCATGATCAATGCTATCTCATTTCCACCTACTGCATTTATTGGATTCAGTCCCCATGCTCCATTACCCTTACACACATGGAGGAGGAGGACAAAGATGGTTTTATTACTTGCCCAAGGGTGGATGAAAAGAATTGTGCTGCAAGTTTACATTATCATTATACCCCCTTTATCCATTCTGCCTTCATACCAGGTGCTGAACGCCAAGAAGAAAATAAAGAAAAAGAGATACATCAACTCTGGGACGGTGAGTCTGACTTCTGCGATAAGAGCAAAGCCTCCTGGTGCACTTACATCCCTGCCCTCCAGTGCTTTTTGTTATTCATCAGAAAGTTTTCTATTGCATGAGATAGTTCAGCGATGTTTTTGTTCCATCCCTGGTTTCAGGGATTTTAACACAGACGGTGAAAGGGTAGAGGGGAAAACATTATCATGACTAAAGTCAGGATCAATAAACAAGTCCAAAGAAATGCACAAATGGGCTCTTATTTGTTACTGCCTTCAAAATGAACTCATTTACCCATTGTTACCCATGACAAGTAGTGTATACAGTGTGCTTTATGGCTTCAATATTATGAATCATCAAAACTAACTGTGGGAATCAAAGGATAATACACCATACCATACCATACCATATACTATACCAAACCCTACCATATATACCATAGCAAACCATACCATACCATATACTTTAACATACCATACCATATATATCATACCATACCATACCATACCATACCATACCATACCATACCATATATATCATATCATACCATACCATACCATACCATACCATACCATATATATCATATCATACCATACCATACCATACCATACCATACCATATACTATACTATACTATACTATACTATACCATACCATCAGGGGCGGCTGTGGCTCAGTTGGTAGAGTCATCGTCTCTCACCTGGAAGGTCGAGGGTTTGATTCCCAACTCCTTCATTTACCAATTACGATTTACCATACCATACTGTACCATACCACACTACGCCATACTATACACTATACCATACCAAACCACAACATAACATAACATACCGTACCATACTGTACTGTACCATAAATCCAGGGCTGCCTCTCCCTATACGTGGAACATGCGTTTGCGTAGGGCCTCATAATTAAGGGCCTCCTTAACAAATTTTGCTTAGGGCCTCACCCTGGCCAGGGGCAATCCTGCATAAATCATACCGTATATACCATACCATATACCATATACTATACTATACCATAACATAACATATATCATAACATATATCATACCAAACCATATTTCGATACGATGCAAAATTGATATATTTGCAGCTACAAAATAAAAAGAACAATAATAGGAACAACCAAAAATACCTGATAACCAGGGAAATGTCAGCGAGGCTTTATACAGTGAGAAAACATTCACATTTGTAACATGCGTTTAAGATATGGCCCATGGGTGCTAAGGTGGAGAATCGACACCTCTACACACCAACATGATAACGTTACCAAATTAAATTGTAAAAAAAAAAAAAAAAGCTGCAATTCTTAAAGAACATCATAAGTTTACATAAGACAGGAGAGGTCCAACACAAGTGCATTTAGGGACAAAACAAGAATGCATTTCAGCACAGTGTGTTTGTGTCTCAAGGCGGAGGAGCAGAGTGAGCAGACAGTGTAAGCTATCTGCCTGACAGTGGATCACTTCATTTCTCTGAAAATAATAGATATATTTAATGCTTAAATGGCTCACCAAACATACTCGGGCTACCGTTAATATACAGTAAATAGGTCTGATGTCCAGGTAAAGTCAGTGTGTGGGAAAAGCTGGATGATCATGACCTATATTTATACTATATAGAAGAGAGGATAACACGCTAGGCACTGCATACATCTGCATATAAGGGCGGGCCAGCATACACACAGCGCTGGTCCACCTTTCCGACTCCAACATTTTAAAGTGGCACCATTACGCCCCTGTAACACCTCTGTAACTCCATTAACTCTGAGGTCGGCTCAGCTGAGGAACTATACGCGCCCCACCTTCATGACATTTACACTGATAGCATTGCAGAACAGAGGCACAGCAGTCCCATTCAGGTTCAAATCCAGGTTACTGTGGTTGCAGGGAGATTCACATATACCTAATAAAGCACAGACAATACAAACAAAATACAAAAAAGCAGGTGTATGATATATGGGCAAAGATGTGGAAGAGCATTAAGTGCACATAGATTCCAATTGTAAAATTTAATAAGCAATTTGATTTGTAAAAGTTACAGAACCTAGATCATTAAAATAGTTCAATTCATAGTAAATGAACCATTTAGAAGCATGAAGTCAGCGTTCCAGCATGCTATCTCTGTCCCTCCATATAAGACCCAAATGAAATTATCAACAACCACATAAAGCAACACAGAGAAGAAAAAACATGATACACACACATATCTTTTGATCCTCTCAGTAATGGCTGCCTGTTCTGCATTTTAGAACTGACTGAGTCTTCAAACAGACTCATTTTTTAAGATTGAGCTGGTGATCCGCTCAGACTAGCATGTTGTACAAGGTCTCGAAACCAAACTGTTGCTCTCCGATCAGCTTACCGGACCACCTCATCCCATCTTGAACAGGCTATGTTAAATGGTCTTATATGACGAGTAAATAAACGTGTTAAGGTAATATCCTCTTATTTTGTGATTAAAATCTGCAGCTAGTTATCCATCTCACTGATCATCCATCAGCGCACAGCCACACTCATTTTCTCAGTGATTGTAGCACTAATACGCCACCCTGACCTTATGAAGTCATTTTGTGGGTGGTTAGCTCAGAGGTCAGTGTTCATTTACAGATTGGTTCATTTTGCTTTCCGTAATTAACAACCACAAGATAATCTGTTTGAACCTTTTTTTTCTGCTCCCTGCAGGTGTCCTTGTTGTCATTCAATGTGGAGTCAGAGCACACCTTCCTGGATTACATCAAAGGAGGGTGAGTCACATGTTTTTCTAATAATTATGTTGTTTCTATTTCTGTGAAAACACACTTTATTTAAATATTTCCTTTATCGCTCGGTCCTGAGGGTAATTATGCAGAAAGACTCAACAAAAATAAATGAAGGCCAATCTCAGCTTGGGAAATGTGTTTAGCTTTGCTGTGTGGTCTTGTAAACACGTTTGACATGAGAAGGCTGCAGTAATGGCAACATTTCATTATCTTAAAGTTGAGTTCAGTTGAGTTTAAAGGAACACATTCTTTTGGCAGAAATTGGTCATCATATACATAAGTATAATTTCCCAAGAGCATCATGACCCTTAAATAAGATATGTTTGGACATTACCTTAGAATGAGCTCTTCAGCTCTGCAGTGGTAATAGATTTCTTTCTCGGAGCCGCTATTTTACTTGGCTCATATTACTGCTTGTGTCTTTATTTGAATAATGCTGCTGCCAATTCAACTGCATCCTTTCCCTGAGCCTCATTTTGCTGAATATACATCGTGCTTCATGCTCTCATTTGTTTACCACCTAACTTAAATGTCCCTGTATTGAATTCTTTATAGATCTTTGTTGTTAGCCACCACAAGTTCTTGTCTGCCTCCAAACTTCCTAAGAAAAAGAAACATTAATGTAAGTCATTGTGTCTTCTGTTGCTGCTTCAGGATGCCAGTGGGGGTTCCACCAAAAACTCAAATAGCAGCTTTGATGAAATAGTAGAATAATAACCAACGTGCATACATGGGGCAGTGAGAGTTAAAAAAAGAAAAACACACCTTAACAAACTCCTCCAACTGTTTGCACAATTAAGACTATCAGTCAATACAAGGGGTTAACTTGATTTCTAAAACTTGCTGAAGTATTAGTGAGTCTTGCAGGCATTGTAAAACATGTCATTGCTGTGACTTAAACTTGGAAATAATGTGGCAGAGAATTCATAGTCTGCAATCTAACTGAGAAGAAATACATGCATTATTCAGCTGCCTGGACTGTGTCCTGTGCAGCACAAGCCACCAGCTACATTTCCTTTCACTGGCATGAGACTGATCTCACGGACTGGCCTGGATTTTGTTCACATGTCAGTGAGTCTGGCCCTTTAGGAGAAGATCTTGTCCACATCCACAACAACAGTGTGAATGAATATGAATGACTATGATAAAATATGGAGAAGATCTGAGAGCTTAATTAAAAGCGGCCAACCTGTCACATATGGAAATCTTTCTTGGTGGATCAGTGGCTGCCCTGGTTTTAGTGTTCTGCTTTGCCACTGATGGCTGGGTGTCCCAGATCTGTCCTGACGCTCACACAAATGGACACACATGATGTTACCACACAAATGCACTCACTCACATGCACTCAGAGTAAAGGTTTTTGTTTTTTACTTTGCTGGTGTAATTTGTCTCTGAGACTCTGTAGAAAAACAGAGGACGAAAGACAAACAAGAAGAAGGTCAAAATAAATATATACTGCATTTAGATTCACATTCCAGTTAATGGGTTTCCTTGTGTTTGTATCTTTTCATATTCATATTTTATATTCATAAAAACCCCAAATAACGCTTATCCAAGTTCTGAATAACCTAAACAGAGGCAGTGGGACTTGCTCATACAAGGACACGTACTCCCTGCTACTGTGAGTGCTTGAGTTAACATGAGTAGGATGGAGAGCTCAAACAAATGAGTAACAGACCAAATACAATGTTTAAATGTTTGTGATGATGGAGATTTACTGGAGTCAGATATGTCTACAATCTGCTGCCACAAGAGGGACAAAAAGTTAAATAGAAGGCCTGTCTGCAAATGTTAAAGCCAACATTATATCAGATTTTTATTCATAAACTGGAACAGATAATGATCTGTATACGTTCAAATTTCATAAAAAGATAATTTTCACAAAAACAAATCAATGTGTCATTTTCACTCTGGAAAAATCCTGTTTCCCAAGTTCATAGAGAAAGTTATGACACTAATACAATGATCAAAGATTTCACTGTCAAGCCATCGTCCCATGAGTTGAAAACAGAGCTGCATAATGCTGAGTAAAACATTTTCATATTATATCCACAACCAATAAAATCCAGCACCACAAGAAACATTTCATACAGATGAGCCTGTCGAGCCCTTATACCTCTTCTTCTTACCTTGTCTGTGTTCCCACTGCATTATAAGGTTTATTAGGAGTATAAAATGCTGGAGTTATTGAACAGAAGGTTTGCCTTATGTTGGAATATAAACTAGTGAACATCCCTTAGAAACACTTTCTCAGGAAAAAACTTAAACCCAGCAACTGAAATCTAGAAAAGTACGACACATGTTCAGCTTTTTTTAAGGTGAGAAAACAGTTTACAGCTACTTCCTACAAAATGTATTTCACTCTGAAAGATCTTCTTTCTTATAACAGAAAATGCGACACACACGTTAGTTTCACCTGAGTCTGATGTTCAGGTCATTTATTACTGGATCTCTGAGCTTTAGATGAGTTTGGAATTGAAATCTTAATAAAAACCGTCAGTATGAAGCTTGAAACAGCGTTTTACCCTTCATGCTCAATAAAAAGTTGTGATCTTCACATGAAACTGTTTCAGACAGAAACGAGAGACAGATTATCACTTTAATCAATTTGAACCAGCACAGGGAGTGAAGCGTTCTGTTGAGTGGTACTTCATCTTTTTGTTACAGACATTTAGAGATGTTAAAAGCTCATCGGTTCTTTTGTATGATTTCAATGATGTGCCTGGGAGAGGGCCTGATGACTAAGACTACTACTTTAAATACACCAGGGAGGGGATTTTTAGAAACATATCTAAAAAGACAAAAATCATTCCATTTTCTGTGTTCTGATTTTTGTCTCTTGAGGTGTTTTAAATCGTCATAAAAGATTTGCTGCAGTCTGTTGCCGTTGCCTCACTAATCGTTTATTAACCATGGAAGTCCTGGAGTCTCATACGAAGCTGCACAGATAAGAATATTCAGCCCCGGCGCGCTGGTGGCGCAGTGGTTAGTGTGCGCGCCCCATGTATGGAAGTCCTTTGATCCTCTAAGCGGGCGGCCTAGGCTCAAATCCCACCTGTGGTTCCTTTCCTGCATGTCATTCCCTACTCTCTCTCCCTGATTTATGAACCTATCCACTGTCCTATCTCTCCATTAAAAGCCCAAAAAGCCCAAAAATAAATCTTAAAAATAGTCTCTTAGGCCATAAAGCAAAACACTGTTTTTTGGGGGGTCCATGAGATTCTGCTGTCAAATTTCATTAAAGAATGAAGTAGTGATGTAAATATCCCAAATTTAGATGATTTGATGCTACATTCACTTTCTTTATGTTAATGAGTTCAACTCAGCACCAAGACCCAATAGACTTCACTTAAATCAACTCAATTAACTAACACACACATTGTTTTGCTCATATTAAATCATAATTTTAAGATAACTGATCAGTCTTCTGACAAGAAGCATGCAGTGGACAAGCAGCTGATTCAATTCCTATCACTGACAGGAATGAAGTTGTTACTGCATCCAAGTAACAACTGACCACATACTTATTATAAAAATAATGTGAGTCTGAGGTGCTGGTGGCCTAGTGGTTAGTTTGTATGCCCCATGTACGGAGTCTTTTGTCCTCGAAGCGGACGGCCCGGGTTGAAATCCAACCTGCCGCGCCTTTCACACATGTCATTCCCCACTTTCTTTCTCTTTCCCCGTTTTCCGACTCTGTCCACTGTCCTGTCTCTACAATAAAGGCATGAAAAGACTGAAAATACATCTAACTTTTTTTTATCATCTTCACTGATTGAAAACAACGAGCTGAGAGGGCACCAAGATGTCTTTATAGGAACCAGCAAATACAAAACAGAAACATTTTAATCACAGTAATGAAGGACGTGGTTAGGTTCATTAAGACTATTTCAGGTGTTCAAATGAATTTAGAGTATACAGAAGCTGGCTTCATACTGCATAAAGCTGATGCCCTGTGTGGTATATTTGTGGTTGCTAAAACGAGAGCTATACATATTGTAAATTTCAATTTCTTTTTTTGTACCGTTAATTGAAAATGTAATTTACTTTTATAGACATCTACACTTCTCTATCTCATGACCTCTATGGTGTGCGTTCTATTGATTTCTATATAAGCTCAGTGATTTAAAACACCTGTCTTAAGCACAATTAGACATATTTGAATTGATAAATCTAGGCCTTTTTTCACAAGTAAGACCGATAAGAGCTAAAACATTGATTCATTTATTGGAAAAATATATTGATTGCATCTGAATTATGCTGATGTGGCTTTCTTCTCCTACCTGTAATATACCGTATATACGAGCCAGCAGCTGGCTAGAGCAAATGTGCACGTTAGCTTATGTTCTTTGTAGGCTATCTCTGGATCAGTGTATGTATATTTTAGATAAACAGGCCAAATGTATCACTTGATTCACTGCTGTTTCTATTCTATCTCCATGATCTGTTGAAGAAACGGTGGCTAAAAGATTTAAGACGCAGCTGCAGAGATATTATTCCATGTCCATTCTGCTCAATCAAAAGCAAAATAAAAGATATTGCTTTCAACAGATTCTTGTCTTGCAGCAGATTGCAGGACAGACCGATGAAGAAAATAAACAAGATTACTAGTGCTGGCAGAGGAGGGACGAAATAATGAGCGTGCTGCTTATCCATGATGGGTGAGATTAAGTGTATCCATGGAAAAAGAAACAGCAGGCTTACAGTGGTAGAAGACGTTCAGGAGGGGGTCAATTTATACTGAAAAGCTTTAAGCTGTTAACCATTTTTATGGAGTCTGTTTTCAACCAAACATTCATCAGATTTACAGTATATCTACAGTATAGGCAAAATTAGCTGGTGCTGTCTCAAAAGGCTTCACCCACATTAAGAAAAGAAACCACAACTACAACCTTAACCCTCAAAGTGAGGATGATACAAACCTCATTAGAAACAAAGGTTTGGCCCCACTGGGACAGTGAAGCAATGGGTGCAAGAGGAGAATAAATGCATGTTTCATCTCATTATAAAAGGAATACAGTTGAATTGACCAAATAACTTCAGAGGAAACAAAGAAGCTGATGTTCTCGCCAAGTATGAACAAAACAATTGGTTGAACATTTCCAATCTCGTTTGTAGTTCATGTCCAACAAATCACTCCCACAACACCTTTTTGTAAAGGATGATCTTTTGGAAGTTGCACCTGGAAGAATCATTCTGATTAAGCAAGAGTCACAAAATACTTCTGAATCAAATTGTTGTTTCGTTCCAACCTTAAATTTGATGTATTCACTCAATCTGCAGAAACAACATTTACAATGTAGGAGTTCTGGCACACTGAGTGTTTATCCGATTGATGAGTTGGTTTCGATTTGGAATGTGTGATACTGTAGCTGAGTGAAAATAAATGAATCTTTGTTCAACTCAAATGTATGAAAAGCGAATGGAAGAGTAAAACGGCTTAAACTGAAAGCCTGCCAGACATGCCCTCCAGAGAGACAAGTGGATAAATAGAAGCAGAGTTGTGATTTAAGCCGTAAAAATCTGATCTAAGACCCAGATTGGATATTTACGAGTCCTTCTATTGATTCCTCTGCTTTCATTTGTGTTTGCTTTACTGTTCCTTTTCTAACAGGTGATAACTAACATGGTGCATTTTAGATGACTTCGTAAAGTGCATGTTCAGCAAGCAATTTCTTCTCCCGACACAGCGTCACATCCTGACTGGCTTCACAGTGAATTGGTTATTCATAAATTTTCATTAGCATTCAATAGAAGCAGAGATATAGTCAAATATAGGCTAATTAAAGTCCAAAAGCCTCACGCTCCGATTCTCCAAGGCTAATGAAAGATTTATATTATTTTCTTCAGATGTCGAATAGTTCTTTTAAATTGAATCTGCAGAGAGATCAGCCGTGTAATGGCTTCTGAGGAGCCTCTATTGTGTGGAGAGCTTATTAAGCTTTAATAGTTTTATCCCACAATATCCTGTTGTTCTAAAAAAGGGAGGAATTGATACTGTATATTTTACTTAGCGGTCAGACTGCAGCATTTTCACAGGAGCACACCTTAGTCTTTTCTTTGTCTCTTTCTTTCACTGGCTTTTGAGATCCACCCCGTTCTATAAATCAGGAGATGACCATGGCAGTGTTTGTCTTCTAGGTTTTATTTTAGTTCATATATAGTAGTTTCTTAATACAGAAATTACATGGTTTCAATCATTTAATGGTGCAATATTTCAGTTTCTGTGAGATGTATTGCTATATTTTGTTCTGCTTTGATGTTTCATGCTATCATCTCCACACCATCACTTCTTTTTTTAAGTGTACAGGTTGGCAGAGATTTTCTTTTGAATGTATCTACAATCATTTCACACACAGTGCTTGTTCCTGCTTCCATGTGCACCTGAGAACGTGTTTAGGCTGTGCACAGGGCACCCTTTTGGCCATTTAGATGAAGTATCTACAGTAATGTTGTTTTTGTCTCTGCGACCCCAAAATATTGTGACAAGTGTTCTGCATTAAGAGTCTTTTCTCTACTTGATCTTTCGTTCTTTATTTTTTAAGGCTACTTTTACTAACAGACTAAATATTTTAGAACATCATTTCCACGGGGGATAGGGTGAACATGTTCCCTTTACTTTTCAAAATGTCCACTTTCATCATGTCGGTTTATACTAAATTCTCTCCCAACATGATTCTCCTACTTTCCAGCCACCACAGTCAAGATGATAGGAGATCAGAGTTCTATTTGACTCTCCCTCAATTATTACCAAACACTTCAACAAGGAGCAACAACAACTGGACTTGTTTTACCTCTCAGGCTCTGTACTAGCTCCCTCATCTTTCTGATGGGTGCTGTTTGTGGGTTTGAAAGGAATAGGAGCAGACATTAAACAGGGCTAAAAGAAAGAGAAGAAAGTACCTTCTCTTCTGTTTCTGTTTTTTTTTTTTTAACATTTATTTTGGGGCTTTTTGCCTTTATTTGATATGACAGTGGATAGAGCAGGAAACAGGAGAGAGAGAGTGGGGATTGACATGTGAGAAAATAAGTTATAGGCTGGACCCCTACCTGGACCGCCCGCTTGGAGGATTATAGCATTCTAGATGGGGCGCGACTTAACCGCTAGCCCATCTGCGCCCCTTCTTCTGTTTCTTTTTGTTTGTAAATTAAATAATTCAATACTGGTTTTGAACGTCACTCAAAGATAAGCCGACAAAGCAGAGTTTTCTTAACAGAAAAAAATGAAAATCAGAAACTGTAAGGATGTCTACTGCATGATAATAAGAAAAACGATTCAATAGAATTACTTTTATTTATAATGTAAAATGCAAATTTAAGGATTTAAAACTCGCCAACCACACATACACACACACACACACACACACACACACACACACACACACACAAGCCTCTGTAACCAGTTCTACACACCTGGTTACATGAGCCTGCACTCCATTAAACAAAAGCGTCAATCTGCTCATTGATGTCTTTTTTGTTGGCTATGTTTCAGCACATGTCGATGAGATCATAGGTGCACTGTAGCTGCTGTCTCTGTCACATCGTTTTACATACAATATCCTACCCAGTGCAGATTGCCAAGACTGCAGGGATTTCACATTACAAAGACTCCTGCCATATGGTGTTTGTCTAACTGAGAGGGGGAAGTCAATATGACACAGATAGGTTTGTTGCCTATTTTAAACCACTGCAGTGATTCAAGGTGACACACAAACTGGTGGAGCGGCTGTCTCTAGAGCTGAGGAAAACTGAAGAAAAGGAGATTATGATGGAGTTAATTACCATATAAAATAACAGAGTGAGGCCGTCAAGGAAATATGGGATTTAGTTCTACTGTATTTGGGAAAAGTATTGGATCAGGTTGGAGGGGGTCATTAAAGGCCAGTGTCAGATTAATGAACTGATTAAATGTAGGCAATAGTGCTTTTCTTTTAATTTGTCCATGGAGCAACAGATGACTCAATAAGAAAGTTAGAAAAATGAAAAATGTCTGAAAAATTACCTGCTCAAAAGGACTTTAGATTTAAGGAAAAAATAATAACCTCAGAAAGGCCTCCATTCACTGGTCCTTTCCAAGAAGACCTGCAAAACAGACAACCATACTGCAGCATCAGTCAAAAGCAATCTGTATTGATTTTGTAGTCTCAAAAGAATTTGTGAGCTCCCAACTGTGCTTCATAAGTGAAATACAGAAAATATGACAAACCAATGTGCTCAATACAGACATATGTGGGATGGAAGATGTAATACTGACCCCTCATGATATTGGCCTTTTTGTTTCACAGCACTGCTCTCTAATAGAAAGGGGCACCGCTGAGAATAACATGATCTTTGAACCTGTTCATCCTCATAGAAAAGCAGAACCATAGAGGATTGAAATGTTGCAAAGAACACACTGGTCATTTTTAATGATGCAAAACATAACATGTAGACTTTAGATATGAATATATTCTTAGAGGAAGTTGAAGAAATGAATCACTAACATGTGCCCAGAAAGGAGGCACTCCTCTCACTTAACACGTTAATTGGCTTTAAATGCTGTAAATGTGACACTGGTCCATGCCATTTCACTCACAGCTAAGCTAATATTGGAGGGTGGACCTCCCTGTAATGCTCTGATGACCTGACTGTAATTGGCAGGTTGACTGACAGTTTCTCCTGTCCTGCGCTCTCCCTTTACTCTAACTCACCATCTTGCTTTTCTAGTCAAACCGTGAAAACTAACCAGAGAAATCAGCAGAGACGGTCCAATTGAGGCAGCATGCCATTGTAACAATTCCCCTTTGTCCGCTGAGCGGTCCGGCTCAATGCTGATTAATGAGCTGGGGTCAGAATCTCCCCAGGAGGAAGCCACCATTATCTTGGATACTGTGCTTGTGGGAATTTCTGAATGGAGCTGAAGTCAGAAAAGGCAATCAGTGTTAATCACAATGAAAGAGCACACACTCTGATATCTGAGCTCCCCTTTCCCTATGCTCTACGTTTCTCGGGGGAAACGGGAAAAATCCAGCGGAGACTAGTTAGGCCATGTTTAGTTTCTTAGCATAAGAGGCTCATGAATAAAACATCTCTTATAGTTTTTGGAAGTATTGCAGTGCTGATTTTCCAGATTGATGGAAGGGAAAGAAAAACATCCATTTTCCATAGATCATACGACAGCCAATGAGGAAAAATAGCTTCCTCAGTGTGTTCAGCCAAGAGATTTAGCTAGCTGCAGCAACTCATCCTGTGTTTATGGGGAACATTTTAGAGACTGTGGGATGTGTTTGTGATTTTGGCTTTTATTTGTTTGTGGTTAAATCTTTAAATGAGAGACTTTACAAGCTTAGGTCTTTACTGTATATATAAAGATTAAGGAAATGTATCCTTTCTCTGTTTCCTAATACCAAGCATTAAAACCTGGATAAGATGTTGTACTGATAATAAACCTGGTTGTCAGCACTACTCTGGGTTTTGTTTTGTCACACCTCCTCTCAGATGAGAGATTGAGAGCACAGTGAAACCTGGCAGAGCCTCATTAAACTGCAGCATCGAGCTTTTGCTGCCTCTGTTTTGTTAACAGCATCCTTTCCCTCATTCATCTGTTTCAGGACTCAGATTCACTTCACAGTGGCCATTGATTTCACTGCATCAAATGGTGAGTGTTTTGGTACCATCACCCTGCTCTGCTTCCATTTATCCTCTGATGTACGACTGTGGAGTTTTCCATGAATCAAAGATGGAGCTGGAGTTTTCTGTCTGCTTGTAATAGTCTATCTCTTGTCTTGTTAGACTTGTACAAAGAGTAGATAAAGCGTTATAAATGATTAGGATATGCTTTAAGAACAGGTAAAAAAAATACTCTGCTCAAAATACAAGAAATAAATAGGTACTAAAGACATTATAGAGAGGCAAAACAAATTGAAAATTAGATTTAGATTTTTAATAAATACAAAGAAATAGTCTTTGTTGAAATAGCCAGTGTGGGTATTTAAAGTACTTTCTTTTATATTATGTATATTACTTTTATATATATTTCAAGCTATTTAATACTAGAACTCAATAACTTTTTAAAAAGTTATTTTTCTGCCTTTTTGCCTTCATTGGATAGGACAGCTGAAGAGAGACAGGAAATAATAATAATAATGTAATAATAATGTATACTTTATTGATCCCGCGAGGGGAAATTCGTTTTTTACACTCTGTCTAGTTAACATGCTACACAAACATAGGCTGAAATACACACACATGCACATGCACAAACAGGATCCTATGGACATGCACTAATGGAGAGGTTTCAGTCTCCAGTTTCAGTGACATGTAGCAAAGGGCCGAGGTCGGATTCGAACCCACAGCCGCTGTGATTAGGACCATAACCTCTGTACATGTGGTGTGCGACAAACCGCTAGACTATCGGCACTCCCACAATTTAATAACTTTTAAAAGCAAATTTTAATCAACTATATTTATCTCTTTTATTTGTAACAATGACTTATAATTACAGATTGAGCATCCCTACCCACTTTACCATTTAGGAAATTAACATAAAGAATCAGGTCATATATTTGACTTTATTCTGAATCGGACTATTCTACTAGCTTTTTTTTAACTTTTGTTCTTTTTACGTTATTCCTTTTTTCTCTTGCTTCAGCATTATATTTTAATGATCCATCCAGAAATATCTAAACTTTAACTTTAGCTTTTAAACACACAATATAAACGTTACATTCCAGTGTAACACTGGGATAACATCAAGCTCCATCTCTGACTCAGAACATCCAATTTAGTCTCCGTTCACACATGTTTCCCTGGCTGCAGCTGTCAGTTTGGTGTCAGTCTGAGGGTCTGCATCACTGACTCTGACTCCTCTTATCATGAAAGGAAATCCATCCCAGTCCACTTCACTTCACTACATGAACCCGTACCAGATGAATGCCTATGCCATGGCCCTGAAGGCTGTGGGAGAGATCATCCAGGACTATGACAGTGATAAGATGTTCCCTGCGCTGGGATTCGGTGCTAAGCTGCCCCCTGATGGGAGGGTCTCCCATGAGTTTCCTTTGGTGAGTGCACGATGGATTTATATATTCAGGTTCTAATTCTGCGTCAGAATTTTTCCTATAAGATGAATTGATTCTTCAGAACATGTTTGGGTTCCCAGTGGAGTTTATCACTGGGTGTGTGTGCTCTGTGTGTTTATACTCTCTGCAACATGTATGGATAAGTATGTTTTCATGTGCAATATGGATGTGTGCATTTTGAGCTGATTGCCGCTACACCTCCAACATGCATAATTCAGAGTGAATCCCATTTACCTTTTATAGTGCAAATCAAGCTGTGTGAGGCTGAAGGATTCTTAAATCAGTGTGGCTTCTCCTTGCCAGCTAATGTTCTCTGCCTGCCTCATAGTACAGCCTAATGAGGAGTCTGTCTACAGGGTAATGTCTGCATCACTCCATGTTTCCACTGAAATTAGCAAATTAAGATTCATCTCAGCGTATAATTGAAGCTTCAATCTTTCACGCTCTTGTCCTGTAAGTGTGTTTAAAAGTGAAATTATAGTCCAGGATGAACTGTTTGTCATTCATGTTTTGTTTTTTTTAGAAACTTTCCTCAAAGTTAAGAATCTTTTAAACAAAAGTTGATACTTTTGGGGGTCAAGAACGCTTTCAAAACGTCACTGAGCCCTAACAGCAGAACTCCAAACATTACATTAAAGATGCAGAACACTTCACAGGGCCTTTCTGCCTTTTCTCGGCAAAGAAGGCACCAACTTCTAAATGTATTTCACATTTCTACTACATATATGACCCAATGTCAATACAGATTCATGTTTCAACAGGTGAAGTATCCCTTTAAGTACTCTTATTCTCATTATTAGGCATTCAAAGAGAAGAGAGACTGTAAACAAACCTCTTTTTCCGTACTTTATACGAAAGTCAAATGTCCTCATCATTTCTACAGATCCCAATGGGTTTAATGTTTTCCTTTGCTGCAGTGATGTAGAGGTGTACTCTGCAGTGTGTCAGTACCATAGACTGTTAATAATCATGGACGACGCCTGAGTGCTATCACCCATTGGTTTCTAAAGGGCTGTTTTGGAAGCTTCCATATTGGAAATGCTGACTCTACCAAACTTTGGGTCAACATAACAACAGGCAGAGAGCTGGAGCTGAGGCGGGCTTTGAGTCTCCTGGCAAACCGCTACACCGCAGCCGCTTGCAGTCAGATCTGTCACGCCTCTAATTTTCTGGTCTTTTGGAGCCGGCCTCAAGCAGACACTCGAGAAACCAAAGGTTTTTTTTGCACTTTCGCATTGGCTTCATTTTTCCACTCTGGAGGTTGCAGCTTGGTCAGTACACTGTGACGTCACTGATAAGATAAAACATGCACTTTTGTTAACACCGATGACTAATGATGGTTGCTCTCGGGGGCTTCAACAGATGAATTTGAAAGTTTCAAACTGTTTTTGAGTCTTTAAGTTTATTCTCAGACACGTTGTGGTACAACTGAGACAAAGGTTGTTTACATGTCCCTGTTATATTCCATTCAGACTGTAATACTATATTGAATACAGTGGTTTATATTCAATTCATGTTTTGTTTTTGTTTTTCTCAGAATGGCAACATTGAGAATCCCTACTGTAATGGCATGGAGGGGATCCTCGATGCTTACCATCAAAGCCTTAAGACAGTTCAGCTGTATGGACCCACCAACTTCTCTCCTGTTGTTAATCATGTGGCGAGGTAAACGCACACACAGCTGTCCTAGTGAGCATTAAAGAGCACATCTATGCACAACCCTTTGTAAATGATCTTCCCCCTGATGCACACGTTGTTACGTTTATAAGACAGTGAGTGATGTCTTTTCTTTGAATGGAGATGAACAAATGAAAGGAACATAAACAATCAGCTTCATGCCTGAAATGAAAATAAATGGTTAGCATGCATGTGCAGGTGTCTTTCAGACTGTATGTGGAAGCCTTCAAGTTATTGTATCTAGTACATATGTATGTTTGTGTAGGTGTGGATGTGTGCATGAATACAAACTTGCACCGATGACCCTCTACAGGGTTTCCAGCAAACACTACACTATTCCTGCCTTTGAAAAAAGAAGAAGTGAATGTTTTGAAGGATGGAAACCGCAGAGAGATTTTTACAAGGCATAGATGTACACTGACCCCAAACTGTTTTTGAATTCTGGACTCAACAGTACTCCAAAGTTTTCTGTAGTCGATGAACACTCAGCAGGCTCAGTCTGGGACTTAGGTCTCAGTAATGATGATTCATGACTTTGCTTGTACTTGAATTATAATGATTCACTCTTGGCATCAACTTTAGATTAGATTTCCTGCAGAGTTAACCACAATTAAAAACGACTTCATAAGGAAATGCTCAACTTTTAACACCACATCCAGATTTGATAAACACTTGAAAAATGGTTTGTTGCACACCATTTACACTTGAATCTCATTGAATTAAAAAGGTTGTTATGCCCAATAAATAATGTCACATTATGTCTTTAAGGATTCTGGGTTGAATGCAATTGAAAACTTTATGCATTTAAACTTGTACAAATCCACTCTACTTGCCCTAAGGGTACAATTTAACTAAGGATGCAGTAAAACTCAAGTACTGCAAATTAGTCACTGTAGACTAGATAAAATACAATATTGGGTTTAATGCTACATTTATTATTATTATTATTATTATTATATGTGGTTAAATGTCTCCGGTCTGCCACACAAATGTATTCAAGCATGCTTTTATCACTAACAGGACACGCTCTTTGAATATAATGCCGACCCCTAACAGCCAAATTTAACAAATCAAAAGCGAGATTGAGGGCTGATCTCTGACCTGTCCTTGGCGCTCACGATGATCTATGATGTGTTTTCCCCTGTTTGCTCATCAAGTCAGGTCAGAAAAGTGCTAGGCAATCAATAATCCTCTGAAAGAATAAGACTGCAGCACTTGCATAAACAGTTTAATAAATTATTCATAGAGCAGCCAGTGATGGGCAATTGAAACTAGGCCACACTCTCTGTGGAGTCTCGGATGGGTTTCGTAACAGTGCATGGATAGACCTCTGAGACACGACGAGCTATACAGCAGATTTGACTGCTTTACACATCTATATAAAGCTTTTCTGTCACCCGCTGGGCAAAACGGGACTTTGTTTCTCAAGAACATGTTCTTCAATGTTTTTTTTTCCTACCTCTGACACAGAGGCTGCTGACCTGATGCTCTTAGATTTTCTGTCTGGTTGTTCAAAACAATCTCTGAGTTTGCTGTAGTCGGTAAACATGTATCTGTTTTAGTCTTCGCTTTTCTTTATAATGACCTGTCTCTGTGTCTGTGTGCTGATGACTCCTCTGTTTTAGGTATGCAGCAGCGGTGCAGGATGGCTCTCAATACTTTGTACTGCTCATCATCACTGATGGGGTCATATCAGACATGGCTCAGACCAAGGAGGCCATAGTGAATGTAAGTACTGTTCTGAAACCACCCACAGCATGTATACCTCTCCCTCTCCCTCCCCCTCTCCCTCTCCCTCTCCCTCCCCTCTCCCTCTCCCTCTCCCTCTCCCTCTCCCTCTCCCTCTCCCTCTCCCTCTCCCTTTACTCTGCAGGGCTCTATATTGCAGGTGCTCTAAGTTGACTGTGGCACCAGTCTTTCTGTTACTTCCAGGGGTTTATAAACTAGAGCCACTAGATTTGAGGATTTATGGGATGTTTCTGCTCCACTTGTTTCCCCCCCTGTGTTGGGGTGTTCTGTTTGTCCAATATGTTTCCTTTTTATTGAGTCCCTCAGGAGGCTGTGGGGCTCAGCTGAGATTCTCTCTCAGGTGAACAGGTTTGCTTTATTAGAGGCATGGTTCTTATCCAGCACATCGACTGCAACAGCTTTTGTTTCTCTAATGCCTTTCCTGCATTCAGCATATTAACTGGAGCTCATTTAAAGTTGCAGTATAAATGCAATGGCAAGAAATTACATCACCATCCAGGTTGGCCCTCACAGCAGCACAGAGCACTGACCCCCAGCAGACTGGGTTTAAAGGGAATTTGCGACTGTTAATCAAACCATTCGAACAGCCACACCTTCCTTTTAAGATCTTGTCTGCTGCTCTGCACTGCTCAGCCTGAAGCTGCTCTGTCCTGCTGACCACCTGACTACTCTGCCCTCAGATTAAAGGACTGAGTGACCTGCTTCACTCGAAAAAAAAAAAATCCTTGCAAAAGAGAAATGGGGAACTCAAATGTGGGCACATTTGGTTTCTTATTTGTGCTTTCTGATGCAGTTTTGTATTTTCTATGATATCCTAAATGACTGAAAATGGCAGATATCTATACTGGTTTTTACCAGATTGTAATGTAACGTTTATTTTACTCTTCTTGTTTTCAGTTAACCACAGCTTTGCCCTCAGTGAGTAATATGTCCACTCATCTAACTGGACAGCATTAGCGGCCAGCTTTTTGATGTTTTTCCTTTAAGCTCAAAATGTTGTATTAGGATTTTAAATAACGAAAGAGGTCTGTCTGTGTGATCTGGGAGGCACAGCTATAAACGAGTTTGTGCCCAGGTATTAGGTTAAGTCTGCTCTTACAGACTGTAGTCTGGATAGGAGGCTGGCTCAACCACTAACTTAATGGAGCATGAATATTTTGTTATTTTGAGACACACAAAGAACAGCCAATGTTAATATTCTGGCCAACTCTGAACACTTACTCACTAAAATATATCATGCTGTATCCTACTATTACATTTTGTATAATAAATTATTTGAGAAGAACCGTATGTAGAAATATTTTATGATGAACTTTCTTTTTATATAAAGCTTCTCCATGTGTCTATGACTTCAATAACTTATTTCACTAATCTCACCTTTGACTTCTTCTACCCCACAGTCACGAGATATTCTTGCTGAATAGAATCAACAGAATTAATCATTCATTGATCTCGTATTACATAAATAAATGTGAATAACAGCTAACATATTAAACTGCATTGGGCTGTTAGCTTGTGGGTAGCTATCATAGCAATAATATACATAGTATGGTAAATGTTTGGATTTATGCTGGCCAAAGGTTTCTAAATGTGATTAGGGTGTTATTTATTCATCTCACCCTTTTAATTCCCCTCGTGATGTATGATCCTAAACACGACTATTTGATTTATATTTGATGCTTGAACCAAAGAAACTGGACTAGTTGAGGATATTGAGATCATGATTACTCATTGAATTGACGTCTGCATCACAAGCATTTATCAAACTTAAACACTTTAACATTCTGGACAAGAAATAAGGGAAAATTAATATGTCAAAATTGTTTAAATGCATACAAATAATAATAATTATAATAAATCAATAATAATTACACATGTGGCCAAAATAGAACAACTTTGAAACATTTACCTCACAAAACAAAACCTATGGAGAAAACAAACGCTACACAGCATGCAGCACAGTAATTGTTTTATCCCAATTACCTTATTATGATTGTGGGAAGGCAAAATCGTAATTTAAATCGAAACTCTGTTAATTGCCCAGCACTACTTACCAGCATGCATTCGGGAGCATATTGGCAGTACATTAGATAATGAATAGCACATATTAATAATCTCCTTATTCCTGCTCACTGATTGTATCAAAGGAAGTTGGTGTAAATAAATAACAATCTAAATATGGTTTGTTCAGTGTTGTGGCTCCAGTAGCTTATAAGGCATATAGATACAGTAATAAGGAGATATTGAAGAATGCCCTTCATAAATAGTGGCAATTGTTACAAAGTTAGGTGTTGCAGAATAAAGCTCAAATAAGTGATTTGTGATGACATTAACTCTATGTAATATTTTATATTTCTTATTAGGATTTGATGTAACTCTCTGTTGTACCAAACTCGGCCCACTTGTCTTTTTCTATTGAAATTACATCACATCACATACTGTAAGCTTAAGATGCTTTAACTTCCACCAAACTGTGACTTCAATATTGTCACAGCTAATGAGCTCATTAAGCTAGTTGCCAAAGTGTAAGCATTTTCAATATTAATATTCATCCACCATGCATCTAAACACAAAGCATCTAAATGCACAAAAAGTAAGGAAATTTGTGTTTGATAGATTATTTCTTTGTTGTAACAATGCTTCATGGCAATAAATCTTATACTGTTGGAAAGCCTGTTTATTTCCCTTTTAAATGGTTCCACGTTTGTAAGGAACATGCATTTGTGGGATAAGCCTCAGAGCTGAGTATGTAGGTTGCACCAGTGAAAACTTGCCAAATCTTCTCTGCCAATGCCAAACAGCTTATTCTGCTGTTGCTATTGACTCTTGTTTTGAGCTTCCGGTTCCCCCGGGTTTTGACAATCCGATGCCTGAGGAACCGTAGGCAGTCTTTTACAGATTTGCAGTCAAGGTTTGCAGGACGATATGGCTGACAGCTCCCTACCCAGACAATCCGAGAATGCTATGCTAATTGCTGCACCGATAGGGTAACAGCTTTGGTGGAGGCAGTGTGATGATGTGGGGCGGCATCTCCCTCACTGGAAAAATTAGGCTTGTCATTGTTGGAGGCAATCTCAATGCAGACAGATATCGAGATTAGATTCTACAACCAGTGGCAATCCCATATCTCCACAGAATGGGACCAAACTCTATCCTCCAAGTTGACAACGCTCGCCTCCAAAGAGCGGGGTTTATCAGATACTACCTCCAGAATTTGGGAGTGGAGAGGATGGAATGGCCTGCCTGCAGTCCTGACCTCAAGCCCATTGAACACTTGTGGGATTAGCTTGGGCGTGCTGTTCATGCCAGAGTGACCAACACAACCACATTGGCTGACTTGCAACAAATGCTGGTTGAAGTATGGGAATGCCATCCCACAGCAGTGTGTGACCAGGCTGGTGACCAGCATAAGGAGGAGGTGCCAGGCTGTTGTGGCTGTGTATGGTTCTTCCTCATGCTACTGAGGCTCCTGTTTGTTAAATGAATAAATTGTAAAATTGCCAGCATGTCTTGTTTCTTCAGACTTCAATCAGCCAATCCACTAAACAACACCAAACAAGAGTCAACATCAGAATAAGCTATTTGGCATTGGCAGAGAAGTTTTTCATGGCACAACCCACATACTCAGCTCTGCTGCTCATCCCACAATTGCATGTTCCTTACAAATGTGGCTCCATTTTAAAGGGACATAAACAGTCTTTCCAACAATACAAGATTTATTGCCAAGAAGCAATTTACTAAACACACATTTTCTTACTTTTTGTACAATGTTTATTTAATTTCCAATCATATTGTTTCTGGGTTAATGATACCTATGAGGCATAAAAAAAGTCTTTAAATTGCAGTAATTGTTATAATGAGAAAACGTTTCTGCTACTAGTGTCTGTGTATGTATTGTGTGTCTGTGTGATAACAGGAGGGACTGTGTGTTAGGACAAATTGATGGATTGAGATCCCCTGAGTGACTTTAGGGTACAGGTGAAGTAACAAATGATGTAGACTGAATAATTCAGCTTTGGATACAGAATCTGATCTGGTATTTATAGCTTTTTGCTTGTGGGGTCTTCTGCTGCTGTGAAAGGTGCCAACAGGCTGCTTGTGTTTAGTGTGAGATCAAGAGGCTATGAGGAATGAGTCTGGTGAAGGGAAAGATAGCATGAAAAGGGATGTGACATAGAAAAATGATAAACAATATGGAGATGATGGTTATCGTCTGTCTATTTTCTCCTAACTGTGAGCTGCCTCCCTGTTCAGGAGATTTTTCCTAGGAAAGCTGACCTACTTTTACCCCTGTAAGTGCACTTCAACCAGCATATATCATTCATTCATGCCAGAGTTTCTAGATTTTTTACATCAGGTCAGTGTTTGGATTCATGACAGGGAAAAACCTGAACACTGCATACTGTCCACATGAGAAGCCTGGTTGAATCTTTATTTATGAAGCTTAGGTTGTGTTAGTTTAGATAAGACACATAGCTCTTCTGTTCTCATGTTCTGACATTACTATATTAAAACTAAATGTTATCTTTACTGTTTCTCTTTTTGTGCTTTTCATAAAAACCAAACATTGATTAGCTGTGTGTACTTTTACTCACTTTCTGTTCCACATTTTGTCAAATCTGCACACTGTATGGTACTGAGATATTCTTCCCTATACTGGCTGTTGTCATAACCTGTTTGCCCCTGGGTTGAATAATGTTTTTCATATTTTCTCTCAGTCCCTGGAGGACCCAAAATATGCAACATAATGTGATGTGAAACGCAGAGAAGACACTGTTATGATGTTATATGTCCTTTCTGTTTACATTATTATATTATGTCTGATATTACGTACATGATTCAATGTCTCTTGAGGACTGTGCTTGTAGATTAATACAGAGTTTGCAGAATGGGAAAAAATACAAACAACTGATAATGTAACCACTCTATACCCTGATGAAAACAATGATGTCATGCTCTGTAACAGCAAGTACAGTACACATGCTCTTCTAATCTGAGTGATAACTGACTTTTTATTCTTCTTTTTCATAACAGGCTGCTAAACTCCCCATGTCCATCATCATTGTAGGAGTTGGCCAAGCTGAGTTTGATGGTGAGAATAGTGACCAATCTTTTTCAGGCAGCAAAACATAGTGGACGTTTGTGGCTGGGGATTTGTGTTTTTAAAGATTCTCACTATAACAAATATAGTAAAGCTTTGGAAACGCATTGATGCACAGAAAGTCATTAAACATATTTTTTCTTTAGCTATGGTTGAGCTTGATGGTGATGACATCAGGATTTCCTCCCGGGGGAAGTTGGCAGAGAGAGACATTGTTCAGGTGAGAGGTTTCTAATGATCGTCTCATGTGCAACACGTTTTTCAAAGCTTCAATCTTTTTAAGTTAATGGGCTTCAAGTTGGCATTGTTAGTTGTTTTTCTAATAAAAAATTATGTCTTATCAGCTAAATGTCTGATTGTCTTGAGTTTATGGTTTAAAGGTATAATATGTTGAATTCTATTAGAATGTTTACATTAAAATATCTAGATTAATAAAAACGGACTAAACTTATTTTACTATATTTTTTGTTGAGTACTTACATTACCTCAAATATTTCCAACAGCTATCAAAGCCAGAGAAATCCTTATTTTTATAGTTGTGTCAGGATGTGTCTTGTTGTGGCGGCAGCCATGACAGAGCCGTCATGACATACACAACAAGTTAATCTTTGCCAAGGAAACACCGGATGTGACCTCAAAGTTACAAAGCACAAGAGTGTGCAGTGTCAGCGGTAATCCACGTGTACCAAACCATCAAGGTGAAGAGGGGGCTGAAGTGGAAGGTTAAGCTTTTAAATTACCAGTCCCTTATCTATGGTCATAAGCGCTGGATAATGACCAACAGAATGAGATCATGGATACATGAGGCTGAAATGAATTTCCTCAGCAGGATGACTTTACTCAGCTTTAGAGATAGAGCAAAGGAGTAGAGCTGCTACTTCTCACTGAAAGGAGCTGTTTACAGTAGAAGAACCATCTCAGTAGGATGCCTCCAGTGAGCGTCCCTTTGGATGTTTTCCAACCACATCCAACTGGGACGAGACCCCAGGAGAGCCAGAGCTCACTGGAGGTATTATATATTCCCTGCAAATGCATTAGGATTCCCTAGGAGAAGTTGGAAAACATTGCTTGGGAGAGAGATATCTGGGCTTACTTGCTGAACATGCTGCTGGCATGACCAGACCTCGGATAAGTAGAAGACGACGGATGAATTAATGAATGGCCAGACAGACCAAATAACAAGTAGATAAAGCAGATTTTTTTTTATAACTGCAATCCCTCCGCTTTATTACAGTGAATGGGAGAACTTTCTTTCCTGGGTGTCTAACAACTGCTATATAAGTAATAGCAAGCCGTAGAACGACACGTCCTGTACCACAAATGCAAACAAAGCTACATGCCGATTAGATTAAAGAACATCAAGGCCAGATTACATGGGATACATACACTTGGTTCTTTGGTCAATGGATGAGTAATGAATGAAAACCTTACAGTAGGACTTGTGTCAAGTATAAATACTAACATCATCTGCATATTGTTTGATCCAGTCCTTTTCTTCAAGTCAAGTGTAAAAGGTATTCTTGTAATTAATATATACATAAAGAATTGTTTTCATTAAGTAAAACATTTCTTTTCCTTGTCACAACAGTTTGTCCCATTCAGAGACTACATGGACCGCACAGGTAACCATGTGCTAAGCATGGCACGGCTGGCAAAAGACGTTCTGGCTGAGATCCCGGACCAGCTGATCTTATACATGAAAAGCAGAGCAATTAAACCTAACCCTGTCCCACCAGCATACTCCGTCGACAACCATGCCCAGACCAACCCCGTGTGAGCCCCACAGACTGCTCTGTGTTGGGGCGAGGCAGGGGGAGGGACTGATGGGACCCTGCATCCACACCCATCATTTAGGAAAATGGAAAAAGCTTTGAGGCTAAATGAAGACATGGTGAGACTCCATTTTGTTTCTGGAGCAATGAGACCACTTAAAGGTGAATATGCCGATGATCAGGGAGGGTTTTTTCTCTCTGATTGCTGTAGGATGAAAGAGCTAAAGGAGCCTGGTGTAGGAGGAGATTTAGTTGTTCGCTGTCAAACCTGTCAAAGTGGTGATGTAATGGATAGCAAGTGAGCCAGTAGAGAGAGCCTGATTGAAGGCATAAATATATTAGATTGTGCCAGTTTGTATCATGTTTGTGATACCTTTTGGAATCGGTGTGTGTTGAACTAGGAAATCATCATGTGTATACTTATTTATGCATTTATTTATTTATTGAAGAAATAATTTATTTATTGGGGGTGGGGTGGGGGGGTGGGCTTTGAAGGTTGGGGTTAAAGTCATATTTCCCCTTCAGTTTTCCTTCTTATATTTTGTGACAAGTGTAATAAAAATCCCATTTCTACTTTGATAAGAACTGTAATCTAACAGCATGTGATAAAAGCTAATAAGCAGTTATTTCAGTGATAGATAATTTTTTGATTGCAAGCTGTTATATAGAGGACCTGCTGTGTGCCGTTGCCATACCGATTTTCCAGCATCACATCTTAAACCTATTTCTAATATTTATATATAACAGAATGCACTAATTACTTTCCAAATGAAAGCACAAAGGTTATGATGTTAATATGCTGAAAGTCATTATTCTAAAAGAAACAACAGTTACCACAAGGAGGATAATGGAAAGGAGTCCACATTAAGTTCTCAGCTCGGCTTTTTGTCTCCCACCATGAGTTTCATACAAGATGACAAGAGGAAGAATATTTATAAGAAAATGACTATACTGATATATTCAAATGTGATTATATTTATTTTAAAAACAGTATGTTTACAGAAGGAAAGATGAGTAATTCAAAGTAAATGCTTGCTTTTCCTGTTAGTATGCAGAGAGGTGAATAATACTGCATAAGCCATGCTGCCATATCTTATTCATCATCTTGCGGTTTGTGTTTTTTTCCATTATAGTCGTTGTGGTTACGGATCATTGTGTGGGATTTTTTTTACTTCTAAAAGACCCTACAAATAAACTTTGATGAGACTGATGTCAGCTTATATCCACTACTTTTTCTCTCCTTGAACACATTTGTTTCCCACGATAAAGAAAACACCAGAGCAGTCAAACATCTTTGAACAAACATCTTTTATGTTTAATGGTTTTTAATCAATCTTAAAAAATCCGACATGCACCGAACAGAAGCAGTTAAACATTTATTTTCTTAATCCCCTGAAATCGTAAGTACTATTTCATTTTTGTGTCCACTGTGTTGAACTCTCTCACATTATGGGAGTGTTAACCGAGAAAACAAAAAGTTTCAATTAAAGCACAGCAGTCCATTTTGTTGCTCGACATTGCAATACCATTTTAATACAACAGTACAATTTCATTTTGGGATGTCATTCAAACCAGTTGTTGATATTCAAATGTGTTCGCTGTATTTTTAAATTACTGTGTACAGAGTAACAGCCATTGAGGCCCAGGTGTGCAAATCTTAATTTAACTCTTTATGAAGGCCATCTTTTTCATTTGTAGGTACTCAGTCACTCACTATCTCGATCCGAATGTGCCTAGAATATGGAAACATATCCAAATTCAGTTACCCAGGTGTTATTCTGCCAGCAGCAGCAGGTCTCACATTGAAGATACACAGAAAGAAAAGTGTTGCAAGATTAGGACTTTTACAGCTGCAGTGGCTGATACTCGCTCTCTCTACCAGTGTCTGTACTTTTTATACTTCACTCATAATCTTTGAAATAATGACAATGAATAGTGTCACTCAGCCTTGTTGTACAATATTCAAAGTCAAGACTTGTTTACAATTCAGCTATGGCTATTTGCATTGTCTCAAGGAAAAAGTGTCACATGCATTGTTAAGAAGTGAGTTGATCTGCATCGTCTTTTTTTGTACTTACAGCCCTTCATGGAACATCACAGCAAGGCTAATGTTTACAAAGATGTGTCATGTTGTTCTCTGAGAATGTGAAAGCCTGATCTTCTGTTAGAGCAAACGCGTTTACACGATTTTTGTTGCTTCACCATCTTTTTGGCCGTTTAATGTTTACCGGCTAGCATAGCATAGCATAGCATAGCATAGCATAGCATAGGAAGCACCTTTCTTGTTTTTATTCCAATGGTTTATTCTGATGATTTATTATTTTTATTATTTAATTTTTAATCTCTGTAGCACTTTGAGATTTAAAAAAAAAAATCTGAAGTGCATTACAAATAAAATGTATTATTATTATTATTATTATTATTATTATTATTATAGCAGAGCAGAGCAGGCAGTCTGATGGTTCTTCAGAATCTCAGCTTAGAGGCAGAACACTCCTTCTGTTACAGGCCCTGATCCATATTTGGCTTTTTGTTAGACTTTTAACATTGAATTAGTGATGACATATCTCTCTCTCGGAGCACAAAACACATTTGAATCTGCAGCCAAATTCACTTGTTTACCAGAAGTGAAATGAGGCCATTGAGTTTATTTATAAAACACATAAATACCAGAATACCTCAAACGAAAGAAAAAGCCATTCAAACCAAAATAAATAGTGAATAAATAAAAATGAATTCATTTGTTACAAAATATAGTTATTAATTATTATGAATTAATAAGTTCAATTTGTCATATATTTAATTTAAAAGTATAAAATTGTTTTCCCTCTAACCTTTAAAAAGCAATGAAAAGTGACTCTACTCAGTATGAAAGGTCCTTCTTTTGGCAGGTTTGTGACTTCACTCACGTATTGCGATAGCGTGAAGAGAAGAAATTATAACATGATATATAGTTGGAGCTGTATGTTTTGGGCACTCAACATATTTATATAATTAATCTAAATCAGCTCCTCTGGCTGCTCGAAGTTCATAAAAACCTTCTTTTTTTCTCTACAGGGAAATCAAAATCAACCCCCCTCAGTTATAAATAAATAATACATTTAAAAATGAGCACAATTTTGACTCTTATGCAATTATGAACCATCAAATTATTTGGAAAAAAAAGGGCAGCCATAAAGATGTCTTTCCAGCAAGACAGTTACTTATTTCATTGTCTCCGTGGAAATGGCTTGAATTATTCCTTCAGTTCAATTTCATCTGAGGCTGAACACTAATTATGTACATAAGCCCCATATAAAGGATATTCTGTGCCAAACTGTGTTCCACATTTGGTGAACTTGGCCTCAATGTGCATGCCAAATGGCAGGAAGTTTGATATTCTGCCTTTATTTCACTATAAGTAAACCAGTCATGTGCATCGTTTGTTACTTGGGATGTTATTTGGGTTAAAAAAAAAAACAACCTCTAGCATGTTTCATGTCTGCTTCCTTTCCAATGGGTTCCTATGAGACACATACTGTATGGGTTCTTCTCTCCACTACTCCTGTTTTATCCCAGGTTGTTTACATACCTCTCTTGGTCTCTGACTTGCATGCTGAAAATTTTCCAAACCAGGTGTTGGACATGATATTGTCGTCACGTGGTTTGTGAAATGCTTTGTAATGGATTGCCTTAACTGAGAATTAATAAAATATTGAATACTTGGCAGAATGCAATTTTTTGAGTGTCTGTTTGCTGGAGATAAAATGTGTTGTTTAAAACAACAACTATCACCATTCAGATTCAAGAGTGTACTCCTTAAGAAGTGTCTCCCTCTTTTGCTATTAAAACATTTTTATTTTCTCTTGCAACATTTCTCCTACAGTACCCACAATGCAACTTCACCATGAGTGAATGAATTTGATTTGAGGTAACTCCTCTTGTCCAATCCGTTACCTGTAGAGAGTGACAGTTTCTAAGCGGGTAACGAGATCACACCTTCACGTCCCTTTTTGATAAAAGCACTAATTTCTTAGGTAAACATGCATTTTGAAAATAGGTTTTATATTAACAATTCATCATCATGGTTAGCAGTGTTGTCAGTTTTGTTTCCTCTTGAAATGAAACCCTGATATTACTTTTTCCGACCTGTTTTAGTAATTTAGTCTTCAAAATGCACATTTTACGCACTAGATCCTTTAAAAATAAATAAATCTGATTTCTATGAATATCTTAAGTTTCATATGAATAAGGCAAGCTGCAGATAACTTTTAGCATTTGTAGCGGTCATGTTTTGAAATTGCCTCTTCAGAAATTTCTAAAGCTTTACTTTTGGGCTTTTTATGCGTTTATTTGAGAGAGAGGACAGTGAATGTAATCAGAAATCAGGGACAGAGAGAGAGAGAGTGGGGAATGACATGCAGGTCAGATATGAACCTGGGCCACCTCCTTTGAGGATAACAGCCTCCGCACTAACCACAAGAGCGCCAGCGCCCCGAGATTTACCTTAATGCTCATTAGCATGCAGTGTTTAAAAACACACATCATGAGTTTGAATTTGGCTCATTCAATCTTTATTGATTTGGTAATCTCTAAAATCCATCCTGCTTCCAACTGGGAAGAAAACTAAGTAGAGGATAGTGTTGAAAATTGAACTTGCTGCTGAATTCATCCTGGACAATATAATTCTCATGTAGTTAGATCGTTAAAATGTAGAGATGGTTTTCTTTGTTTCTGGTTTTATAGACTTAAAAGTCAGTCTCTAAAGTGTCTTATCTGCTCACAATCGTTGCTCAGCCTCTGAATTCATGTTACTACTTTATTTTTTAAATAAATCCATCACAGTTCGTTCTTTAATTAAAAAAGCTGCTGTCATGAGATTTTAGTGCAGCTTTTTAACAAAATGGTTGATTTGTGTCTCCACATCTATCCCGCTGAGAGACACTGGAGTCCAATCAGCAATGAGCGCTGTCCTAACACAGAATCTGTTCTTGTAGAAATGTGTTTTTCTCTCCCTAATGAGATGCACTGCTGACGAATCAACATGTCCACCTGGGGAGAGAGAGACAGCAGCTGGAGCCATAAATTAGCAGCCTGAGATCGAGCCAACACCTCCCTGTCCCACCCACTGACTGCTACAACAATAAGCACCAAGGGGCATCCAGGAAGAAAATCAACAGCTAATGGTATAGAATTATAACCTACTTATAGATAACATTTCACTTGTACACTATGCGAAAATCATTCACAAGAGATTTCTGCTCACAACTAATTACAACAATTAGTCTGAGCTTCTGGCAGACGACATACTATGAGCCAAAAGGGAGTTGTGGCAAAGTACTTAAAGGAATAGTTATTTTATCTGGAAATTGCACTTACAGCATTTGGTCAAGAAAAACATGTAAAGACCTCACCTGTTAAATCTCTGTGCTTATTACCAAGCTACAGCCAGAAGTTGCGTAATCAGCTTAGCTTAGCACA